TAAAGTAAACACAGTTAAACATTCATAACAAAGTCCTAATATGGACCAGATACCTCAAAATGGAATTATTTGCCTCCTGGAAGTGGCAAAAATTTATTTTGACATAAGTGAGAGTGTAATCCAAGATTCCTCTGACTCTAAGTCTAACCCCTGCTTTTAATATTTTGACATGTGCAGGGGAGAGTCAGAGTGGAGGCTGGTCCAACTTCCAAGATGAGAGAAATCATTATAAGGGGATGATTCTTCTACAATTTTATTGTCATTAAAAGGATGTTATCGCCATTTAAACGAACCTGTTGCCGACAAATGAAGGATCACTTGAATTAGTTAGCCTTCTCGTATGATGTCTCATTTGTTTGCGATAGGTCCATTTAAATGGCGATAGCATCCTTATAATGATGATAAAATCGTAGAAGAATCATCCCTTTATTGATTTCTCTCATCTCGGAAGTTAGATCTGCAGCAAAATAAAGGTGTAAAATGTAAGCAGAGTCGCGACACCAGCTGGTGTCGCTGAATCCCTACTCTTAATATGGCCTCCACTATTACTCTTCCCTACACATGTCAAAATATGAAAAGCAGGGGTTGGAGTCGGAGGAATCTTGGATTAGTGGGAATGGTGCTTCTAACAAGTCTTAGAGAAACACACCAGTTAACTGTTGTTGTTTTTTCCTTGACAAAAATAACTTTGATGTTCATGTAATACTCTGTTTACTTCACATGAAACTAAAAAATATTTGTTTATTTTAAAGTCAAACCAGAGAAGATGGTGCGTCCAGTAAAAAGGCGCAATTCCTCTGTTACCTACACCAAATACCTCATTGAAGCCATCCGATATATCAGGTAAAATAAAGCAAAGTATGTTACTGGTCCCTGTCGGGTGATAGTGCTTTAAAAAATAATAATAACCGTATATACAATATGCATGCTAAGATTTGGTTGCCTCTCTACAAATTACTCTTCATGTTTAAAAACGCATTTCTGCAATTTTCAGATATCAGAAACAGATCCCCAACATAGAGAGAATATCTCGCTACATGAACCGTGAGTATGGACTGGCGGAATCCTTCACCGAGAAACATCTCCATTATGCCGTCAAAGACAACATCATCCACTCCTACATGGCGGTAGGCAAGAAGGGCAGCATGACAGGGGTAGAGCAGGAGGGGTTCAAGATTCCAGAGGAAGAGGAGGAAACTGTATGTGTTATTGTAGCTTTGCATGTATTCATGTGATGTATTGTTTGCTCTTAGTTATTTCCCTTGGCCACCATCTTGGTGGTCATTCTGGTAATTTTTCCTCTGTTCTGCCAAATATAAGAATGTGTAGCAGAAATATTTTGGGGAATATCTGTATGGAATAAAAATTATGAAATAAAGGAAGCTTTAATAAATGTATATTTTTCAGAAAAACAATGCTTCCTACCCCACAATTGCCAGTATAAAAAATTAAAAGTTGGTTGATTAATGAAGGAATATAATCATGTTGACCTCCAGTATGGCGGCCAGTGGGAAATAACTCTTGTCAATTTGGGTCTACTGATACTAGTAAAGTATCTATTATGCAAGAATTTCCTGAATAAATAAAATTTAAATCAAATGTCTTCTTTTTTTGACCAGAGAGGGGACCATGACTGGTATTGTTTTGAGTGCCACACGGCGGGGGACGTCCTGCCCTGCTCCGACTGCTGGAGGGTATTCCATCCCAGCTGTACCCTGGAGGAGTGGACCGGACCCAAATTCACTTGTAGTATTTGTAAGGTAAGAATAGGTACATGTCCGTCCAAGACTCTCTTTTATTACCATGAATCATCTGTGAGAATCAGCTTCATTTTAAATTCCTATTAAATTTGTGTTTTAAAGTTTGTACAATTGTCACCCTCCAAAAAAAATCAATATTGAAAAATTTATTAACATAAAAATATTTAAACTGCATTTTCTTTCTTTTTTTCTTGTTTTGGTTGCTCAGGACATTGAGGTAAACTTTACTCTGTAAATGTCTACATCTTTGCTTTCACTTTCTATATTTCAAATTTCTTGAATGTTCATTGAAGATTATTTTGAAAGAGTTTATTTAAGATTTTTATATTGTTATTTCTTAGTTTTGTTGTTAAAAATTGAGTTATGAAGTGATGAATCTTTAGGCTTCCGAAGCTTAACTAAAATAAGTTTGTTTTTAGGTAATTAACATATGTAAATGTTGTTATATTAAAACCTATTTCTATGGTGCACCCATTCTTTCTTGTTGTAAAACACATTCATATGAAATAATGAATATTTATAAAAATGCCTTTGATATTTTAATAAATATTTATATGATGACAAAATGTCATAATTTCTGGTATTTGCTTTGTAATAAATATCTTATTCAGAACATTTGGGGAAAAAAAATTGCAAGATTTTTTTTTTTGAAAGCCTATTTTGAAATTGCACTTGAATACTCTTTCAATATGAAGGGAAAGATGGGAGATGGCTTTTTGTTTATATGGTGAAAGCAAGCAATGCTTTGGGTAAAACCTCTATATTATCTTGCATGCAAGCAAGTGAGACACACCCAGAGGTGCTTTACTTACATGTTTATTCAGGGACCGGTACATGCATATGTACATGTATGCTATAGAGTATATTAAAATTAGAGTGCTAAGTTCAAGCAAAAGCATATGTCCCACAAATAACTTTCCCAGGCTTGGCTGTTAATGGTAGAAAATACGAGATAATATATTTATGAGTAGCCAAATGGTCATACTTTACCACACAAACATAGCAGGTTTAAAGTGTAAATGCAGAGTATAATTTCAAATATAAATACAGGTACTATTATTTGCCATTTTCTAGTGTTGTAAAATTCATATTCTTTGGAATTTTCTTTTAACTATTCTTGAGTTAAAATGGACTTGAAATCAGTGTGCAAAATAAAGTTACTTATGAAATAATTATACATGACTTTATATGAATGTTATAAATGGCAAAGAAAGACCATTTTAAGACATTATGGAAGGCGTTGTACTGCAGTAAACACTTTGTTATGGTCGCTTGTTGGCAATAAGTGGATTGAGATATGCTTATATAATAGTGTATGTGACACCCAATTTTTCAGTGAAATTAAAAAGCACATTAAACATAATAGTGTAATATTCTTAACCATACTGAAAATATACCCTTATAAGCATCTTGGTTGATAATTACATGAATTGCATTTGTATACTTAGTCTAGTACATGTAAGTACTCCATAGAAAATGTAATGCTTATAATGACGTGAAAATAATCAGGGCAAGATATACATTGTATAGCATAAGGTAATAAATGATTTTCCTTTCAATCATTTTTTTCCTTCCAAAATCTGAGATAGTAGAACGCTCTATTTGTTGTAAAACAATGAATGTTTAAGAAACAGTTGTATGGTTTTATAAAAGTGTATTAAACAGACAATCAAAACTCTATATATTCTCTATACACTTGTCTTGTCCAGCTTTTTTTTAATAATAATGTAAAAAAGTTTTGATCAAATACCGTATATACTCGCCTATAAGTCGGTCCGCCTATAAGTCGGTTGTATTTTATAAGCTTATATATCATAGGACTGACCTCATATAATACCATTCATTTCATAGCTCGCTTATAAGTCGAACATAGAGTTTTGGACCAGAAATTAACTCCCAAAAATCCGACTTATAGGTGAGTATATACGATATATATATGTAGGATCTATATGAATCTTTTCATTTCCAGACAGCCTAAAACCAGTATTTACATGTTTTATTGATTTCTAAGCATTCTAATTCAGTATTTCCTTGTTATATTGATTCACAGGCAGCAAAACAGAAGAAGAAAATCAAGAGGAGAATGTTAAACACACTGTTAGGGTACACCATACAGAGAATGAAGGAAAAGGTAAGCATGGAGATCAAAGCAGGGCTAGATTTTGTAAAGGAAATGTGAAACATATATTTTAAGGAGTAAAAGCACCTTAGAAAGAAATTGAAGTACCAATCTAATTAAAATGAGATTTTTCCATTTGCTCCCATATTTTTATATGTCGTGAGGAAGGATCTTCCACGTGACATATAAAAATTTGGGAGCAAATGGAAGATCTTATTTTTATTAGACTGTTGAAGTACTTGAATCTTATCAATGTACTGTATATCGGGATTTTTGCGTGTGTATCCAATTTCTGCTTTGTTCGTGATGAGTTCTGAATCGCGGAAAATAAAACAGCGTAAATTTAATACAAAGTTTTCTTCTTGTAGTAGAAGTATTTCTTAATGCTTATATCATAGAGGGTAGAAATAGCGGGATCAGAGGACAAGCGCAAGATACCTGTAATAGGTATAACTTATTGTTTGTTTACTAATTGACAAGCTAGCTAATTATTTTGGTCAGTTCTTTGCGAGAAGCTATTAAACTAATTAGACTACCCGTGGTAACTGAGCTGCTAGTCAGTTTGGAACAGTAAATGACCTATGATTGTTTAAATCTTAAAAAATAATATCTGTGGATTTGAGAGTTAGTACGCAACACAGGTGTGTAATCAGCTAAGTGGGTCTTCCGAAATTGACGAGGTGAAGGTTGATCAATCTATTTCTCACCCGTATGAAGTAACTCAAGCTTAATGACTTTACATTTTTCATCCAATTCCTTCATAGGCTTAAACATTTGTTAATAATATAATCAATGGGAATTTGAAATAGTGAAAATTTGATTCACGTAAATTTAATATACTGATTTAGGTTCTGATTCATGGAAAAAAACAGGACTGGAAAAATCCTGATATATGGTATATTTATGCTTATCATAAAAGAATAGTTATATAGATATTTATTTTTAAATATACTGGAGAAGTTTTATTATTTTTATGATGTTGATCACTGGAGCTTGAACATCACCTTGCTAGTGCCACCGGTCAAAATCCCCACCGGATGTGTCAATCAATGCATTCGCAGTAGAAAATAGCAAAAGCTAACAACAAATTTCCTTGATTTTTCTTTTTGGGGTATCAGACCAAAGAACTTCACAAGATAGGACACAGAGAGCAAGAGAAGAAATTTACAAACTTTTTTGTGTATAAGACAATGGATCTTAACCACATAGAGATGAGAGTGGACCACCAGAAATACAAGACAGCTGAGGAGTTCCTAGCAGACATCCAGCTCATTTACCATAATGTATATCTCATCTATGGAGGTAAATACACTCTAAATGATAAAATCAGGGTGGAGGGGGGGAGTTAGGTAGGCATTTCTTGTAATGATTGGTTTAGATGTTGTCACTTTAGATTTGTTTTGATTTGCTTGGATTTAAGTTAGGAATCATTGCTTATTTTGTAAGCTATAAAGCTGTTGCTTTTGATTGGCTTAGGGGTCATTGCTTTTGATTTGCTTAGGAGTTACTTTGGCTAGAGGTCATTGCTTTTGATTGATCTAGAACCATTGCTTTTGATTGGTTTTCTTTTAGTTGATATAAATTTTATTGGATGTAAATATATTACAATTTCATAGAAATTAAATGAATTTTATATTTTGAGTTCCATTTGGAACATGATTTTAATAAAATTATTTGTAATTCTTCTGTGAAATCAGAAGATTTAATGTGTATTTTTTTTATTTCCAGAGGAAAAGAAAGGAATGGTGGAACTAGCCTTTATTCTTGTGAAAGACTGTAAATATGATGTTAGTGTTATTAGTCATATATGTATGCATAGAAATGAAATAGTGATGGCTTCAGATTCTGGTCTAAGATTACATAATATGCAGGGTTGTCCCTAAGAATTAAAATAACATGGAACATTATAAAAGTAGAAGGGGGTTAGGGTTCCTCCCAATACAGGAGGTAGAGGGGGAATAACAGAATAACAGGCAGTTATGGGTGGGGAATTTCTGTGATTTCAGGGTCTGAGGGACAACCCTGATATAAGTGATTTTGAAATACATTGATATATCATGCTACATGTCTATATTTAAATTATGTCTACTTAATTATATATACATGTGGCTATCAATAGTCCTACCTCATGAAGGTAGATCTCACATACAATGTAAGGAAGTACCATTTTATATTGATTTTTCCTGATTTTAGATAGATGAAATGAGACAGTGTCAAAACTGTTATTATATGTCCAATGCAAAACCTAAAGACTGGTTCTGTCAACCATGTGTAAGTATTCCAGAATTATGTTTTATAGTCTGTCGGTTCAAGTTTAAGGATACACTCATAAAGTACATGCACAACTTTGTTATCTCCAACATGGATACCTTGAATATTATGGGTAATATGTCAAGGTCACTTTGAAGTTCTAAATACTTACTTATTTTTGATGTAGTTTACCCCAGATATCTTGAATCCTTTGTTATATCAAAGTTATTTTCTTGGTTCCTTAAAGTTCAAGATGTACATGTATTTATAAGGCTTTGAAATTCTAAGTAGATCATCGTTGATTGGATTTATGTTTACAAAGAATTTATCCAGGTCCAATCAAAGGTGTATACATCCTTCAGCCTCAGAGTATGTGAAATAAAACCTGGGGTAAATCCCCGGGGGTCATTACACCTTTGATTGAAACTTGATAACGAATAATGTGAATTTGTGTGTAAAAGGGAGAACTGTATTTTGTTGATGATCATTGTGTAAAAGGGAGAACTGTAAATAAATTTGTTAATGATATGTTTTGTAGAATCCTCCACATGAACTTGTCTATGCTAAATTAAAGGGCTACTGTCACTGGCCGGCCAAAGTCATACGACACGTAGCAGATAAATACGACTGTAGATTTTTTGGGGCCCCGCATCAGAGGTACTTATCGTTTTCCACTCTGACATCTTATGTACCATGATATGTATAAATATATATGACTGATTAGAAATATTGTAGAATCTTTTAAGAATAGAAGAAGTTCAAAAAAGTATTTTAGATTGAGAAGGAATTTATAGCAAACACTTGAATAAAAATTGTGTTTTATTTTTCAGAGCCCTTATACCAAAGGATATGATAAAACCAATAGAAACCAACATAAAGACCTTGACAGTCAAAAGATCTGCAGGTAATTACTTATTTGTAGCTTTGCCTATATTATAAAATCAGAATATAAAATTTAAAAAAATGATTAATTAGAAAGAAAAATTAAATTGTCTTTCAATTTCATCTACTCTCCTGAGTGGTGAAAGTCTAAGTCTAATGGCACTTAAAATCTTTCTCAAACAATTTTGGTTGATTAAAAAACTTGATAAAGAAAGAGAAAAATGTTTTCCAAAATTTTGGGAGTTAGAAGAATATCTTTGTGATCGAAGGTTTTGTGAAGGCCTGTGAAGAGCTAGCTAGACATCAGAGGTTACTGGCCGAGAAGCATTTCACAGCAGACTCCGACTCCGAGAGCCTGGAAGGAAGTGACAACGGACCAGAACGAATGGAGGAGGAGGAGGAAGAAGAGGAAGAGACCAGTCCACTGGAGGTCAGCTCCACCAGTGTCAGTCCAATGAAGAAGAGGATCTGTCTAAAGGTGAATGTAATTCCATGTGTGCTGGTCCTAATTGAAGCATTTTCGATGAATGTATCAGTATCAAACACATGTAAAAACATCTAAGATTCTTCCATTCTTCCAGCTTTGCAGGGATGTTGTTTGCTCAATCAAGGATAATTTTTTGTTTGTTTAGATACCCTTAAGGCCATGCAAAATTAATTCCTTGGTTCTCAGGCCTTTTTCCAAGAAATGTGATGAGGGAGAGAGGCATTTTTTTTTCTTTTTTATTGCCCCCAAAACATGATGAGGCAGTTTTTTACATTGTACAAAACCTCAAAAAATGATGAGGGAGGTGATTTGGTGTTTATATTTTATTGATTTAGCAATAAAAAGGGTCAAGGAGGCACCCTTGGAAGAGATGAGGGAGGGCCTGAGAACCAAGAAATTAATTTTTTTTTGCCTAATACATCAGAGATACACGTGGCCAGTGTTATACAGACTTACAGTAGATAATGTAAGGTTTTTCATCACATTTAATTTTTTGTTCCCCAGGCCCCCACACCAGAGGACAGTAATTTAGTGACGTCTAGTGAGGATAAAGTCCCCAAAGTGATCACACTGAATGCCTCCAGTCAAACCATCACAAAGGTTAGTGGTGTGCCTATGATTTTTCAATGTGTTTTCTTATCTCTGTGTCTACTTCAAACCACAAAAATTGACTCCTCAAATGTGAGATACTTTTCTGTAATTTGATAACATTCGAGGATGCTTGTATTAGTAGCTCAATCTTGTGTACTAAATTACCTCTGTATTACTACAGCTAACCAAAAGTCAGAGTATTCAGACGGAACTAGAACCAAAACCAGATTCAACCGATTCTAAACCAGAACCAGCTCTACCAATGCAGTACAGTCCGGATGCCTCCGACGCCAAGAGTGGCGATGAGGAGGCCCCCGTGCTGAGCCCCAGTAATGAGGCCAGCGAGGAGAAAACGCCAGAAACCACGTGTAACTGTAGTGAGAAGTACGAGAAGATCATCAGTGATTTAGAGGCCAAACTGGAAACAGCCCATCAGGATGAGAAAGAGAAGGCCTTAGAAGAACTCTCCGATAGGGTAGGTCTAGAAAAGAGAAGGCCTTAGAAGAACTCTCTGATAGGGTTGTCTAGAAAAGAGAAGGCCTTAGAAGAACTCTCTGATTGGGTAAGGTCTAGAAAAAAGAAGGCCTTAGATCTAGAACTCTCGGATAGGGTAAGGTCTAGAAAAGAGAAGGCCTTAGAAGAACTCTCTGATAGGTTATGTCTAGAAAAGAGAAGGCCTTAGAAGAACTCTCTGATAGGGTAGGTCTAGAAAAGAGAAGGCCTTGGAAGAACTCTCTGATAGGGTAGGTCTAGAAAAGAGAAGGCCTTAGATCTAGAACTCTCTGGTAGGGTAAGGTCTAGAAAAGAGAAGGCCTTAGAAGAACTCTCTGATAGGATAGGTCTAGAAAAGAGAAGGCCTTGGATCTAGAAGAACTCTCGGATAGGGTAAGGTCTAGAAAAAAGAAGGCCTTGGATCTAGAAGAACTCTCAGATAGTGTAAGGTTTAGAAAAGAGAAGGCCTTAGATCTAGAAGAACTCTCTGGTAGGGTAAGGTCTAGAAAAGAGAAGGCCTTAGAAGAACTCTCTGATAGGATAGGTCTAGAAAAGAGAAGGCCTTGGATCTAGAAGAACTCTCGGATAGGGTAAGGTCTAGAAAAAAGAAGGCCTTAGATCTAGAAGAACTCTCGGATAGGGTAAGGTCTAGAAAAGAGAAGGCCTTAGATCTAGAAGAACTCTCGGATAGGGTAAGGTCTAGAAAAGAGAAGGCCTTAGATCTAGAAGAACTCTCGGATAGGGTAAGGTCTAGAAAAGAGAAAGCCTTAGATCTAGAAGAACTCTCGGATAGGGTAAGGTGTAGAAAAGAGAAGGCCTTAGATCTAGAAGAACTTTTGGATAAGGTAAGGTCTAGAAAAGAGAAGGCCTTAGATCTAGAAGAATTCTCGGATAGGGTAGGTCTAGAAAAGAGAAGGCCTTAGATCTAGAAGAATTCTCTGATAGGGTAAGGTCTAGAAAAGAGAAGGCCTTAGATCTAGAAGAACTCTCGGATAGGGTAGGTCTAGAGAAGAGAAGGCCTTAGATCTAGAAGAACTCTCTGATAGGGTAGGTCTAGAAAAGAGAAGGCCTTAGATCTAGAACTCTCTGAAAGAGTAGGTCTAAAGGTCATATTGGGACTGATTTGTTCATTTTATAATTGAACAGATCTGTCTAGTTGTCTTTTGTTGACAAGTTTATTAGACATCACGATGAAGAGTAGAGGCCTTTCTTAAAAACGTTCATTGTACATGTATAATGTTACAGGAAAGAAATGGACAATACTGTTGACAAACTTTTCTTTGCGATAACTTTTATTCATCATTCTTCAATTTGAAATCTAAGAATACTTATTTTGGCAACTAAGGCAACATAATAAATCTGTAGATGAATTCACATGTAATTGGTTCCCAATGAAAAATAATCATGAATAAAAGAAAGCCGCAGAAATTTCTTTCTTATGAATAAACATGATAAAAGTTGGTCCACAGTACTGGTATTTTATTTAGGTCCAAAAAACATTCAGTATAATTTTTTCATTCATAGTACTGGTTTTCACTGCTGAAAAATATTTAGGCACATGGCATAAAGAAATTCAATGCATAGAATAGATCACAGATATTCTCAAAGCTTTCATTTGATTACAGCTTCAGAAAGACTTTGAGGAGGACAAGCAGCAAGCCGTGTCTCGAGCCATGGCAAACATGAATCGCGAGATTGAACGTACCAAACAGGCCACAGAGGAAAAATGCAAGAAAGAGTATATGGAGGAAATGAAGAAACTGGCAGCGAAACATAAAGATGCAATATCTGCTACCAAGAAAAAGCAGTGGGTAAGTAGCTAGGCTAAAAGCAATGTCAAAGGTCAAAAGCCAGAGAAGATAAGGGGGTGGGTAATTTAAGTAAGACCTTATTTTTATTAGATGAGAATAAATGTGTAGATTTTATATTTCTGGAGAAAAAATTTGGTTCTATAATAGATTTGATTCTTTTTAATGCTACTCCTAAATAAGTCTTGATTCTAATCTTGGACTGATTAGAATTTTAACTGATTTCTTTTTAGTGCTATAACTGATTAGAATTGTGACTGATTTCTCTTTAATGCTATAACTGATAAGAATTTTGACTGATTTCTTTTCCTTTTTAGTGCTATAAGTTTTTTTAACTTTTGAAGGATTTCTTCTTACTGCTATAACTGATAAGAATTTTGACTGATTCTTTGTAGTGCTATAATTGTGAGGAGGAGGCAATGTACCATTGTTGTTGGAACACTTCGTACTGTTCCGTCAAGTGTCAGCAGGAACACTGGCACAAGGAACACAAACGTGTGTGTCGACGGAAACGGTAGCCGTTCACCAAAAACCGTTCATCTACCAGAGGAGAAAATCTGACAGGGAGACATTAAAGCACAGTGCTATTTACAGTGCTTTCGTTCTGTGAGAGACCAAGTAACTGAAGGTAACTAGGAGAAAAAAGACCGTGCCATGGGGAAACTGTTGCAGCAGACTCGATTTAGTTCACCAGCCAATAAAGATATATAAAACTGTCACCCATTTGATTGACAGTTTGGCGTACATGTATTTTACATAGTAATAAGATTTCTATGATGAAAAATTTTACCTAGCTTTATATCTGGAATAGAAACTTTTGATCAATTTTACATTTAGTTACATTGAATTGGAATTTTTTTTTTCAAATTGAAATATTTAGGAATTTTATAAATAATATTTTTTCAAGAATAATTTTGTATGCCTTCACTACCGCAAGGGACAAATGAATGAAACTGAAATTGCACGTATTCCTTAGCAGTCAGTGAAAGGATATATGTTTTTGTACAGTACTTTTAATCATACCGGCCATATATATTTGTTATACATGTATAAACAGGTCTTCATTGCAAACCCTAGAATATTACACAGTCATATTTCATTGTAGTAGTAGCACAGGGAATTTAAAGTCCTTTGCATTATTTATATAGAGTGTAATTTATACATGTGCATAGCAAGCAAATCCTTTTACCTTTTCTTTTCAACTATTCCAAGGATTGTGAATATTTATGTACATGTACCTGTATATAAATTATAGCTACTTATTTTTTTTTTAATATATTGCAAGTAGAATGTTCTATGTTTTCAAGTTTTTAAATACTTGTATGAAATTATTAATTGGTAGATGATTCCCATTGAAAAAAGTGTTACTGAATTGATACATACTAGGAGAAGGCTGATTTGCATTGAAAACTCTGATATCTTGATCATTGTCATGTTGAATGCCTGGGATTTATTAAGAGGAGTTGGTTGTCTTTTAATACTTTGTTATGATTAAAAGCTTGTGTTTGTTGATTTGAGAATATCTTAAAAGAATACTGTAAGTGTACTTAAAAAAGCTGGCTTCATATTTTAGCGGCTTTGGCGCAGACAACATTGCAGTAATTCATAAATACTGTTAAAAAATCATTTATACCAGTACATGTAATATAAAGTGCGGACATGTGTAGCGCTAATTCATGACTGTGCTACCCAGTGATTGCGCTAAATGTTGAATACGCCAATTTATGTACATGTACACGTACAGTATTTTCGTATTTTACCATGTATATCAATGATATACCGTATGTTCTCATTTTATACGAGAACTTGTTCAAGACTCATGCTCGGAATTTACAGCAAAAATGTTTGCATATAAAGCTAAGCCAACTAGACTTGGAGTGCATTTTCGTAACTCGTAAATGCTGACTTTGTTTTAAGATATAATTAAGCACGTGTAGATATAGATTCTAAACAGAGTTATTTTTGTGTTGATCGTCACACATTTTAGCAGAGGTAACATTAGAGATATAAGTATCAGAAAGACCCTTTCATTTGCAGCTTATACTTTATGTTCTTACTTTTTCTTGTCAAAGGTAGATGAGAATATTTTGATTTTTCATAATTTATCATTTTTGTAAGATGATAACACTTGTATGAACAGTTTTAGATGAAATGTTTTAAATTTTTCCTGTATCAAGATTTTTTCGATTTTGATTATGACCACCAGACTGATAAGAGAAGGCAATCCATACATTTACAAAACACAGGGTTATTTTTGCCCCATTTTAATTTCAACCTTTTACTCTTCAAGAGTCTCTTGCAACCAATTCTGCTCCAAATTAGATTCGCCCAGTGACAGTTCTGTGATGAAAGAAATTATATTATTTTCTTTGAATTTGGCCTGTGTTAAATTCTCACATTTGTGTCTAGGCCAGAAGGGGCGAAAACAAAACAGAAGGGAAAATTTACAAGTTTACAGGAATTAAGTGTTATATAGACATTCTGTATGATCCGAGTGTTCCACATGCTATATACATGTGTATTTGCTACATGAATGAAATTTGTTTATTTAAAGTGGAAGAACCATACTTGGATTGTAAAGATTAATTTATAGATAACACCAACAACTCTTGAATGATTGAAAACTGTTCAAATTGACTTAAGGTTACATGTTTTGTTTATAACTGTGAAAATATTAATTTCATTTTTGCATTCAAAGGGTAGTAGAAACTTTTTATGGACAGGCTCCTTTCTTAATTCGTTTTTTTTTTCGTATTACTACGGTAAGCTTTGCCTTAACAATTTCTGTACAAAACTATACCTTAGATATTGGTCTATATATGATTTTTTTGTGGTTAATGAACAACCCAAAAAAAAAATTGTTTAAAAAAAGAAAAATCATGGGAATTCACCAAAAGTTACTTATTTAGTCTCTGTGTAAAAAAAAAGTGAACACTTTAATTAAGTGAAATGTTGATTGTAATAAGAACCCTGTTTGTCTGTGTCGAGAATTTAGAAATCCAAAAAGCATCTAATGTAATAAACTTTACAAAGATTGTTGTACACATTAAATGCTAATTATACAATGGGCATCAATTATATTTTTTTTCTTTCATTTTGCTTTATCATCTGTACTTTGTATATGAATATAAACTTTTAAATTTCATGTTTTGATTGAAATAATACCACATATAGATCTTTTTTCATAGCCACTGTAAATATCCTTTTTTTCCCAAGGGGACATAAGTCTGCACAATCACAATTTCTGTCCATCTGCGCTTAGAAAATTGCACAACGGTGCAATAATTTAAAATTCCACTGAAAATATAGTGTTAAATAAAGCTAGGCATAAAAAAGTCAACATACAGTATATGTCATTAGTGCTTAATAATGCTAGGCGATTGCATATTATATTTAAGAAGAATCATTCAGATTGTTGTGATTTTTCAGGAAAGCAAGGAAAGATAATTGTCCTCCTTTCCTAAATCTCTCATCATTTTAAATTCCTATAAATGTTAGTGTTCTTTCATTGCTTGTCAAGGTAAAAAAAAAAATCAGCAATTTGTTGACTTTTTAATGTCTTGTATCTTAAAAACTTTTATTTCAAATACCAGGCATATGTTTAAGTGAATCCATAGTCCCAGTTAAGGCTAAATGTGAACTTTGATAACTCCAATGTGACTGTGTATATCTGAACCTCTTTTTTTCAATTACAACAAGAAATGCTTGCTTTAGATACTTCTTAAGTAGTACAAAAACTCTTGCATTAAGTTATTGTTGACTTTCTGTGTTTTGAACATTGGTATTTTTTAAACTTGTTAAGATGAGTTGGAAGTCCAACCATTATCTTTTAAGTGTTTTTAAATTGTTTATGTAGAATCCTCAGATTTTTTTTCTTTTTGTGAGCCATCAAGTTTGATATACCAGGGTTTGATTGTACTTAATTTGTGCACAATTTAATTTTTTTCCTAAAAGAAAATCAACTTGAACACCTTATAAACTAAAGATGAAATGTATATTACTTTCATTACAAAGTCTTATACACTATAGTTTTGTGAGGACTTATTATTTGACATGGATTTGTTAGTTGTTACCATTAAAATAACCAGGCAACTGATTTAATCAGTGACTAGGAATACATGTGTATACATGTAATTGTGACTGATGCAGAAAATGAAAACTTCACCGCAAAGAGATAGTTTCAATGTTTTTCAGGGGATTATCATAAAGAAATGCTGTCTCATTGGGCATATGTTTCTTAGTTAACTTACCTTATCTATTTATGTGCTTAAACAGATATTCATAGCATTATTAAATTTTCTTTTAAAGAAGAGTAGTAAATTGTTCTTCATTATCGATCTTTTTTTTATTCTTATCATGAAAGTAGAATTTTTTTTCCTTTTTGTTGCTAATCTGTTTACTAATAAGTAAACTTCATCAATATTTAACCATTATCTAAAAGAACCAATGATACTTTATATATATTCCTAATCTTTACTAATAAATAAACTTCATCACTATTTAACCAGTATCTAGCAGAAATCTTCACTTTTTGTCATAAATCTGAAAAAGCAGAGTTTAAATGGTGCAAATTGAACTAGTCATCTGGTCATCTAAATGTGTTGTGTTCCAATTATAGCTTTTAAAGAAAGTTGAGAGTTGTACCAGTGTTTTTGACAAATTTAAATTTAACATTAGATAATGGTATTAACGTATTGATTTTTGTAGAAATGAAAATAAATAAAGACCAAATTATTGATCTTGAGTTATGATGATGAATAAAATTTACATAGTTTATCAGGAACATTTTTTGAATTCTGAAGACCTGGTTTGCATTAACAACTTATACTGCTCCTTGATCACAAAGTGAATTCTCAATCTAAAGAGGGTTATATTTTTTCCTATATTGAAATTAATTAAAGAAATGGGGAGAAATTATGTAGGTAAATGTTTCTTCCAAACTCAACATAAGATGCTTAAAATTGTTATTTAAACCACTTAATTGCACAAAATCAATTTTAAATGTACATACAAGTATAATGTGTGAATTTGTAAATTTTATATAAAGGTTTACAGATTTATTTTCATCTAAATTAATAAAAATGCCTTTTCTTTTTAAAATCCTCAACCATCTATGAGAATTCTCATGATACAGTTTAACAAATTTCGACCATTGTTAGCATGTTTTTTTTATTCATACTAGATGAAAGTTTCGCTTACTTGAGTAGCAATATACCCTTATTAACTGCATATGGGTCTATGTCTTCCAGATGATTTTATCTGCAAGAGCATGTACTACATGCAAACAATTTCCAACGACAAACAAGCTATTGACAAACAAGTTGATGAAACAAGAATTTCAACTGTATCGTATCTGTATACTGTATCGCACAAAGCCATTATTTTCTGTGGTCAACACAACACATCAACAAATTACACAATCTTTGAGTAAGTCGTATGCTAACAAGTTTTTCATACACATTGTTATCGGACCATACACACGCTGATTTGTCTACGGATCCTTCTGTTTGTCTGATCATGACACATGTAAGGGCTCTCCATGTGTATGCTCATTCCTTTATGAGTTGCACAATACTCCTGTAGCTTCAATTTTACTTCCCTCAATATCTTGTTAGGAGTAAAGAAGGGGGTCTGGTAGAGTATTTACTGGAATCTGCTATGTATCTCTAAAAGTATTTTTATGTAGTTAAGGAATCCAGGATATGTATGGCATTCAAATTCAGTTTGATTGTTGGAAACAATTTTTTTAGAAGTGACT